GTGCGGGAGGTCGCGGACCGGAGTCCCGCGTCTTCCCGGGAAGGGGAGTTGGAGGAGGGGGGGTGTGCGGGGGTCCCTCCTGCGCAAGGCGCCGCGGTTTTGCAATAATTAATGCTTCCGCTGCCAAGCCGGCGGCTGGCACACCTGTATCTGTGGGTGCAGCTCCCCGGCTTTCCCCAGGGACTGACAAACTGGTTTTGGCGGATGGGGACTGGTAAGGGTTGAAAGTTTGGTGGGTAGAAATCGTTTATGCGTGTGATAAAAGTATCGCTTTTTTTCGCCCTAGGGGAGCTGGGCAAATAAAGCCTTTGCCCTGCAAAGTCAGTCGTCAGCGTAGTCAGAGGGTAGTTCCTGTTCGGAGCCTTGGCTGGGCGGTACGGTGATGCTTTAAAACTTAAAGGTGTGCCACGCTCGCTGCCCTCAGCCAGGTGTCGGATAAAACCCATGCCCTGTCTCCTGAAAGTGATAAAAGTCGCAGCTTTTGGGTGCAGACTCCTCAAACGTGGCCAATTCACCCTGACCAGGCACCTCCCGGGCTGGAAGGAGCCATCGGGGCCCGTTGTAAGGACCGGGATTTTAAAAAGTGCTTTTTCAAGCTCTGGGATACTGGGGTACGCTACTTGGCTGTGCTGGCTCCAGCTTGTCCTGATGTATGAGATGCTTAGGCAGGGTTTCTTTCCGGCTCTTTCAGTTTAAACGCTGCTTCAGCTCTGGTTTTGGTGGTCTGCGTTTCTGTCTCAGTAGCCGTGGAATTTACGAGGTGGGAGCGTAAAGCTTTTGGCATGTTTTGTGGGAGAAGAGGTTTAGCTCCACCAGGTTTGATAGTAGGTGCCTGATTAAAGCTATGATTTAAGGATGAACAAAAACTGAAATGCAAAGCGTTTGGGTGTAATTTGGACTTTTTTTGAGATCCTGAATATCTTTTATCTGTCTTAGCAGACAGACTAACCAAGGAAAACTCTTGGGTTGAGACTCCTGAAGTTTCCTGTCTCACTCCACAGGTGTGATTTTCAGAAAACGGAAATTTGTTGCATTGTTTTTCACTCCCCCCTGCACGTCCTTCCCAAAGGACGGTGTGTGTTGTCTGCTCCACATTTTCGGTTGGCCTTGCTGGTGGGATGTAAAAATTAATCTGATCACAGAAGAAGGGCCCCTCTGAAACGTTTCTCTGAGCGTCCCTGGAGGACAAAGCCTCTTTCAAGCAGCCTGAGGATTTTTATTTACTCTTTGTAGTTGCTCGCCCTGGATTTTCGACGCTCTGCCCTTGTTTATAGCCAAGCCCTCCCATCTCGCCGCTCTGTCGAGGAGATGGTTTGCCCTGGGAGGGGGAGGGCGGCAGGCACGACGGGGGCTGCGGGAAGGGGACGGATGGGGGCTGGCGGTGTTTGGAAGGCTGGTGCTGGGCAGCGTGCTCCTGGCGCCCGGGCCCAACACACGCCGTATTGTGTGGGGTACGGCGTGTGGGTTTGTCTCTCCAAATTATCTTTTATTCTGGCTTAGTGAAGCAGATCTCATTAGCTGTAAATATCAGTGGTCTGATTATTTTTTCAGCTGTACTAGTCTTCCTGACTTGTTTTTTTGTTTGTTTTTAATTGGTGTAAATGGGAGTAAAGTTTGGCTGTGGAGTATTGGCTTACTTAAATTTTAGGTGATTTGTGTTCTTTAGCTGCTTTTTGGGGCTTTGACATCCGGGATGCTGAGGCCATTCGGTTCCCTCCCTGCTGTTACTGTTCCTCCGGTACATTTGTGAGTGATGAACACCCGGATTCGAGTCCCCAGGGTTGCTTAAAATCAACAAGAACTAAACATCAGCCTTATCCAAAAGCAGAAAGGAAATGAAAGCATCGTGGGAGTGCCAGAGGGGATGTGTGCTACAGCCCTGTCGCTGCGGCGGCTTTCCATGTCACTCGGGGCTTTTTTAAAAAATAGCCATCGGTGTAACTTTTTCAGGCAGCTGGTTTGCTGGTGAACGAGGAGGTAATGTAATTTTTCTCACCTGGCCGAAACAACATCCAGCATTTTAAACAGAAGGTGCTGTTGTTGAGCAGATGCTTTATTTAAGAACAAGGATTGTAAATACAGGGTTAAAACCATTACGCTAGAAATAAATGCTTTTCCTTTTTCTGAGGAAAGTAACTTCTGTGTGTGCAAAAGCCCCAAAGAAAGTCCCTGATATTTGCTGGTGGCTACTCATTTAATGCAAGTCAAGGCCAGTTAATTTTTCCTGCGGACACAGTGCGAATCGCCAAATAGGGAGCCGTTGTGAAGGATGCAGGATGTAAACAGTACGTATATTTGTGGGCTACCTACGTAAAAGTGGCATTTCCACCCCTGGTCACAGGAAGGGAGAGCACAGACCCGGAGAAGAGACATGGGTGGGATGATTGCTGAGTTCACACATCTGCTTGGCGTAAATAATTGCTGCGATCCGTTTGGCTGTATTAAAGGTTTAAACGGTTTTTGTTAAATGCTCCAAAAAATAGAAGATAATAAAGTCATAAATGCTGCTTGGAATGAATGAGGATTTTATTTGTGTGTTTAGGTGGGTTTTTTTGCCCCGTACTAGTTTTTTATGCTTCAAAATCTGTATAAAACTTGGAATACGTGAGCGTGTCTACTATACGATAGGTCAATTTGGGTTTGTTTTTTTTTTTTTAACTTATTAGCTGATGAAGCCTTCCTGCCTCCCTGCAGCATGTGTCCCCTGCATGCCACGAGCTGCAGAACTCTTACTTTAGGATTGCTTGAAGGAGTTCTATTGTAGAGGTATTTTGTAGTCCTCTTCATTTGAGCGTATCCTGGAGCCTTCCAGAGCAGATGGCTTGGTGTGCTTCTGGAAGAGAGCAGAGGGGTGACGAGGAGCTCCCTGTGGATCGCACGATAGCTTTAATCCCGTAATTTGTCTGGGATGTGATATCGGCCACCTTGGTCTTTGGGACGGTAAAAGCTGTAATGGGTGGGAGTTTGGGAGGAAGTGGAATTTTGGGGTTTTTTTTTTGGAGGCCAAGCTGGTTTTGAAAAATGGAAGATGAGACCAAAGCTTCTTATATACTTAAAGTGCCAGAAGTAGTCTTGGAGGTTGCGTGAGCAAAATGCAGATGGAAGGGGACAAAGATACATACATACATAAATATGTCTATATATCTTAAGCTTTTGAAGTGGGAACATATCTTGTATTTCTACTCACAGGCACCTTTGAATCTTTAAAGCTAAAGACCACCTTAAGTTGAATGTTTTGATGAGAAAACTACAGCGAAGAATGACGTTTCAGTAAATGTCTAGTAATTTCAGTAAATTTCTAGTCTTGAAACAACACACTTTGGAAATTCAGATAATCCCCATCAAGTTTTAATGCATATGTTTTATGTCCTATGGGATTTTTTTTTTCATGATTTCTAAACACAAAATCTTCTAGGCAAGCCTTGAGCTTGTTAATGGTGCTTTAGTGTTTGTCCATCTTTAAATTGTATTTTATCTGCTGCTTTCTGAGCAGGGTGAGTGCAGTCTGGATACAAAGGTATCAGGCTTTTAGATTTTGGGTTTTTAAAATATTTTTTAAAAAATAATAATAATAACAATAGAACTCCCAAATCACATATACATGTATAGTCACCAATTTTATAATCTGTAATTGTTTTGTATGGTTCTGAGACTCTTTCCTCATTTGTTAGAGCTGTATTTTAAAATTTCAAACTGATTTGTTTATGTTGTCTTCTGCTTGAAAAGAAATTTATGATTTATTACACAAATCATTGCATTTTTTAAAGAATAAAGCTGACATTACAAATTGACCATTTAGTAATAAAAAAACTAATTACGGTTTTACAGTAGAAGTGTATAAATGGTGAATTTGGGTACCTGTTATTTGTCCACCTTGTTTTCTCTTTTGCCTTTCTTTAATCAGTACAATTTCTGAGTTTGTCAGAGGGAGGGTTACTCTGAATTCGGTCGTGTAAAATTTTAAGTTGCTTTTTAAATGGCTTCTGTATATTTATTTTTATGGGTGAACCCTTCTGAGATTTTTCTTTTTTGAGTGACAGCTTGGTGGCATTCCTCACATAACGTCCCTTGGGTTTTTTATTCTTGCCTGTAGAAAATCAAGAATTTCCAGTCAGTTGTTACTTATTTTAAGATATCCCATAATTAAAACAAAAAAAATCTTCAACTGTTGGGCTCACAATCTTGCGAAGTTTGTCGTGTGTCTGTGTAGACCTTTGTCTGGGACATACCATGGGAGATAAAGAAGCTTCATATATTTAAGAAACGTGCTGTCCTCATCGTTGGTGTGCAGGGAAAAGACTCGGGGTTCCTGCAGAAACATTGGGTCAGAAAAGGGGAATGCTGTTTATCAGATTGCCAAAACGATTAATTTGAATCTGAGCTCTTTCCTGAGGACGTGTCTGCTTGTTGGAGTTGGCAGTAAAGTTTTTCCACTGCAATTTTCATGATTGTTGTGGGCTTACAACAATAAAAATTTTTTCTGTTTTTTTTTTCAAATTCAATATGATTCAAAGTGACTTGCAGCACGCTGTAGGTTTAATACCAAATGATTTTGACTTAGTAGTAATATCTTTACCTTGTTAAATGAAACGCATCCCTTCTTGTTTCACTTGTCAGCTTTATCTGATAATGCTCAAGCAAGTGGAGTAATTTCAAACTTGCAGGTTTTTAGTTTGGTGTTTTGTGATTGTTGGTTTGTTTTCTTCTTTTTAAATTTGGTGTATTTCTCCCAATGGTAGGAAGAGTGGAGGTATAGGATACACCTGGCCATATTTACTGAGCCTAATAAAATAGGAGGCGATAGGAAGGGATGTATAAGCTGTTGATTGCAGGCTGATTTAGAAATTGTGTTGTGTTAGGGGCATATATATATATATATATATATACACACACACAGATAAGCACGCACACACACACATACATATGCACACAGAGAGGGAAGGACAGACAGACATGTGAAGGAGGGATATTAATGCCATGGCATTTGCTAGTGTATGTAATATATGTGATCTCAGATGAGTAATAAATTACATTTCAACCAGTGACGTATGTTTCAATTTGTTTAACTTCCAGAATGTTAAAACATTGTTAATCATATTTTTGAAAGCACCAAATCTCAGTTTTTTTCTAACTCGGCTTTTTTCTGCTTTAGTCTTGGAGGTGTTTTTTTTTAATCTGTACTTCTGATTTGAGTGTTTCATTGTTTATGATGAATTCTGAAGTGAGTAGTCACAGGTTCACATGTACTTGTGTACACTCATCTCTCTTACTGGGAGAAAGAGTAACGTCTGTGCTCTTCTCTTCTTCTGTTGCAGGTGATCGGAGCCCTTGTCCTCGCTGTTGGGATTTATGCAGAAGTTGAAAGACAGAAGTACAAAACTCTAGAAAGTGCCTTTCTAGCCCCAGCAATTATTTTAATACTTTTGGGCATTATAATGTTCCTGGTATCTTTTGTGGGTGTACTGGCTTCTTTAAGAGACAATCTGTGCCTTCTTCAAGCAGTAAGTGGTTGAGGTTTTTTTATCCTTAATTTTTAAGGCTTGTTGCTTTTTTGTTTTCAGTGTCACCTGAATTCAAACCCATTAACTACGTCTGCACTGAAAAACATTTTAATGAAGTTGCTTTTTTGTTTTTAACCGCTGTCTGTGGATGTCCCTCCGTCAGGGAGCAGCAGTATTTCGTCTCGCCAGCGACAGGACAGGCGAGGGTCAGAGCCCGGTGCTGAGTAAACCAGCTTTCCAATAGGAAAATAGGTCTTTAAGGAAAGCAGCTAGGAATGGTATCAGCACGGCGGCGTGGATCTTGTGCAAACTCCACTGTTGACATACCATTTGACGCCAGCCTGGCACCGCGGTGCCCCGGCTCTTTCGCTGGTCCGGCCGTACCGTAGGCACGTGCCCTGCGTAGGCGAACGGTGTTGGAGAAGAGGAAATAGTGCTGCCCCTTGGCCGAAGGAACAGATGAAGTCTGGCTGCAGCTTCTCCCCATTGGTACAGGGGGATTTCCCAAATCAGAGAGATTTCCGATTTCAGATTCTCCGCAGAGACGAGTTGCGGTCTCTGGTGGTTCTCCAAACGCTTCTCATTTCAACCCGGAGGAAGCCACTAGAGAGAGAAACCCCAGCTCAGGCTGAGCATCCGTCAGGCTGCCGGCTGCTGGCATCTGTCTGCCTTTGTCTGGGAAGTGGAACGTGACGGGGGAGATGGAGAAATGTGTGTTGCTGTGTTAGCTGCCTAGCTTCGAGAGAAGAGCCCTAAGGGAGAAATGAGAGGGACAAAGTTTTTCTCTCCAGTGCCTCTGGAAGGGTAAATTTTAGGGAAATTCCTGTATAACGCTGTGGTTGCAGATGGAAGTTGCACATAAGACTAATTAAAAATGAAGCGCGGAAACATAATTTTCACCTGCATGTCAGTTCAGTCTAAAGAAATGCTAAATACGTGATACGTTACGTAGGACAAAGCAAGAAGTAACTGTGGATTTTGAAATTATGCTGGAATTTTACTGAGAGCCTATCCTTAGGCGGTGGTGGCTTCTTTCACTCTGAGCGGGGTGGTGCGTCCTCTTCTGAGGCCAAGGATGTTTTCTGGTCCCATTGTGGTAGCAAACTCGGTAGGAAATTTAGACGAAGAAAGTCTCTGATGTCTGTTTCTCAGGCTGATTCCAGATTTAGCAGGAGAGAAGGTATCTGTCCGGTGAATTCGTGACACTGGTGTTGAGAGCACAGAAATTAAACCAGCTTTTGGGGCGGAGCGTTAGTATTCCAGATTATTTTCAAATGAGAGATCGTATAACTTCTCTCCTGTTGAAGTTCGCTGTTAAGAAGCAAGGTGAAATTCGTGTAACAGCCATCTTTTACGCCTCAAGAATCGTTTGGGTTAGAATAACATTTCAAGTCCTGGCACGTGGCAGTTATCTCGTGGTGTTGCTATGGATTTCTTCGTGTTATTCATATTTTGCATGTGCTTTGATGAGTAGTCACAGATGCATGTGTCGTGGTCGCGTGCGAGTAGCGCGTTTGCGAGCATGGCACGCAACACAAATAAATAAATAGAGAGCTGGCAGATGCCATTTTTCTTGCCACTGGGCATAGTAAGTCTATCCTGTTGGTGCCCATCGTGCAGCATCGTGAGCTGATGCTGTACAGCCCAGTTCCCTCTTCCGAAGCAACACGCCAAAAGCCAGAATTTTGCTTTGATTAACACTGGCAATTCAGTATAAAATGGTTTGAGTTATCTTAAAGCGCTGCTTTACCCAAGAACTGAAAGCTAACAGGTAAGTACTGTTTTTTGTAGGCAGCGTTACACGTGGTGTTCAGTGTGGTTTGTAGCAGTCCGTTATTGTGCTTCCCTGGGATGCTGTTGTGGAGAGAAATATCTTGGCACGATAAATGCATCTATCGGTTTTGAGTCCATTAAAAGTGGAAAAACAACACGTTTGCCAATTGGGCAAAACCCAGAATGACTCAAGTGAGGGAAAAAAGGCTTTCTTGGGATATGACCAGTTTTATAAGAATAAAACCATAATTTTATATCTTTTCTTTAAAATGACATCTCCTATGCGGAAAGCCAAGTATGTTGGCAATTGAACGTTACGGACATAGGCACACTAATTGAAGGAGTAATTGGAGTTTGTTCTGTTTGAGGTCTCACTTGCAATTGTTTTTCTGCAGTTCATGTACATTCTCGGTATCTGCTTGCTGATTGAGCTGACCGGTGGAGTGGTGGCTCTGATCTTCAGAAACCAGGTGAGCCGCTTGCGTTTAGGCTTTGATCACCGAGAACGTTGCTCACAGTCCATGAGGTTGTGGCTATGCTACTGAGCAAACAAAAGGTGTCAAAATTATTGCCTGAGCACTAATTGACAGAGGTCTGAAGGCAAGTCCAAACTTTTCAGGGCCATTCAGGTTTGGGAATGGGTGGGATTGGCCACCCGTTCTAGAGATAAATTCCAGATTAAAGAATTCTGAGAAAATCTGTTCACTAAGAATGCAAAATACGGACAAAAAAGTTTCCAGCTCTCCATGTATTACAAAGTGCTTTTTTCTCATTTGTTTTCTGGGTCTCAGACAGCTGATTTGGGAAGTTCCAGCTGGATTTGGAGACTTTGTTATTTAGTGGCCAAAATATTTTACTATGAATAAGGGACAGCTCTTGCCTGCCCACATCCATAAGCAGCATAACTGATTTCTGAAGGAGAAGCATCATTTACAAGAACGCTGTTACTATATAAAACCTTAACTTTTCTCAACACAAAGCAGCAGACTATATTTTTTTCTGTTAGAAATGTTTTAAAACATAAATGTGTTCACTATGACAAGTACTAGATTTCTATGCTTTGATTTTTTTTTTTTCTGATCTGGCAAAACATGAGCATTGAAAGGAGATGCTGAATAATAAGACCTCTTCCCTCTCCACCTCAATCCTACCAATCTCATTTCCACAAAAAGAAGTCATACGTACTATGTTACATATGTTATTAAAAAAAAAAGGCTTTAAAAAAATTTTTTTAAGAATAACAACAATTTGAAGTAGTATTATGTTTCCCTTGCTTGTGTTTTCTTCTTACTCTGTGCTTGACCAGAGTCATGAACTTGACTTGTGAGAGCAGAGGATGAGTTAACTTCATTTCTAGAAGCCATCGTTAGCTGTTGCCATAGGTGTCGCCTTGACACCGCACAAGGATTTATTCCGAATTGTGGTGGGAGCCCCAGGCTCATCCAGAGGGAGCGGATCAGCCTGCCTGGTGTAGGAGTGTGAACATCACGGGATGCAGAGAATTTGGTCAACAGAAAATTAAGTAGATGCCAAAGATGGTATTTGCTGAGAGGGTGAGGAAGGATTGCTGTTGACTTTCGGACAAAGAAAACGTGTTGTTAGGGTTTGATTCATAGATTCATAGATTTCTAGGTTGGAAAAGACCTTAGAGATCATCGAGTCCAACCATCCCTAATCCCTATTAAACCATATCCTCAAGTAGATCATCCACCCTATTCTTAAACACATCCAGGGATGGGGACTCAACCACCTCCCTGGGCAGCCTATTCCAGTGGCTGACAACCCTTTCAGAGAAGAAATACTTCCTAACATCCAACCTGAATCTCCCCTGACTAAGCTTATGCCCTTTTCCTCTTGTCCTATCACCCATCACTAATGTAAAGAGCCCTTCCCCCAAAGGGATGTGCTAAGCCTTTTCCCAGCACGTGTATTGGCTGTCTGAGCAGGACAGCTGTGCTCAGGGGCACGTTGGCTGGTTTGGTTTATGAGGTTAAGGGAGAAGTTTGGGTTAGTATGGGGAGGAGAAGGAAGTATTTAATAAAAGCTTAGGGTAATAGCCTCCATTTAAATGCTGATTGTTTTGCATGTCTCATTGACTTTTCCCATTTCTTTATTTTCTTCTCAAATCTGTCGAGCCTGAGTGAGGTGATGCAGGTGGCGTGAGAGTAGTCAGTATTTGCTGCTGTTCATTCTTGGCCAGTTAGGATAGTCCTGCAAAATCCCATCTTATTTCTAATCACAGATGTGGTAATGATTTTTGTTTTGTTTTGAAGTGTTGCATTTTGTAATACCGAGAAAATGTGTAGGTGTATTTCAAGTTTCTTTCTGACCTGCAAGGATTTAGCTTTGATCATTTTAGCAGCTGTGTTGAAAGGGAAGTTGTTATATTCTGGTTATGTTTAGTCTCAATTTTTGCTATGCCATGATGGTTCTGGATGTTGAAAACTAAATACTCCTTTTTTTTTTTTTTCTCCTCATCTTCTGAACTTTAAAAGGTTTTTTTTTGTTGATTTAATTTCTAATATTCCAAGCTAAGGCGATACCATTTTACATCTGCCCCCACTCTGCTGCTGTATTTCTCAAAACTGTGATAGTAAAAGATACAGATATGAGATCTTTTTCTGCTTTTTTCTGCTTGAAGGTGGAATAAAGCTCATTATCTGACAATTATGGACTCCTTGGAAAATAACATGGTGAAAATAAAATTCATGTTAGATGGTGAGCAGGGAGAGAGTCAGCTCTTGTCACCCAGGGGGTAGTGCAGACCCCGGTGCCAAGACTCACCACCCAAACCTGCTGTTCTGTCACCCAAAAGATGTCGGGGATTCCCAGGTCGCAGTGGGAGGGATCCTGCCTTCCCATTCTCAGCCTGGGAGACAGCGAGGCCATCTCTGGGAGACGCTTGGAGAGTCTCGGAAAAGCAGCACCTCGCACTGTTAGCAATTCCCAGCACAAAACCAGCAGTGAAGCTGCTTCTTTAAAAGAGAACGGAGGGTCAGTCCCTGCGGGACTGTGCTGTGCCTGATTTTTAACTGGTATTTGTTTTTTTCTTTAAAAAAAAAATAATTAACCTTCCCTCTTGTGTTCATCAATTACACTTGTTGCTTTAACCTGTTCTTTTATTTTTTTTCAACGTATGTAACCCGTGAATCTTGTTTTACTTCTGCCTTCTAGACAATCAAATTTTTGAACAATAATATAAGAAGAGGAATTGAGAATTACTATGACGATTTAGACTTCAAGAACATCATGGATTCTGTTCAAAAGCGGGTTTGTTGTTGTTTTATTTTTTTTTTCTGGGACTAACTCAGTGCTGAGGTGTGGTAGGGCCTCAGCAGCAGCTTTGAATTTTTTCCAGTGATGGGATAATCAAATTCTTATTGACGAGGGAGACGGGATCTCATGCGTCATCTGTTACGGCATCGCTGCGGTCAGGGCTGCTCCAGCATCCCAGCTGGCATTTGAAGCCCTCTAAATCACTGCAAGAAACGGGGAGCAAAATGGCATCTTTTGCCTTGGCAGGTGTGATTCAGATGCTCCAGGCCAGATCCTGCAAGCATGTAGGCTTACAGGGGCCCTACAGCCAGATTCAGAGAAACTCAGCCTAAATTCCGCCCAAGTTCTTGTGCTCAGCATTTCTGCTGGCTGGTCCAAGACATTCAAAAGCAGCTCGTTAACAGGAGGCACTGGATAAAGAGAAATTAGGTGGCAATTAGGCTGTTTGAACCTGGACCGTTCTATTTTCACTCGAAGGCACGTAGCAAGCTCTTTAACAAGGTGGTTATTCAAAAGAAATGCCCGTGGAAGCATATATACCTGTAATTAAAATTCAGAAATTGTGTTGAGCCCAGCTGAGGATTACTTAATGGCACATGTAGTTGACTCATAGCCTTTTTTTTTTAAGCCTAGTGTGTTGAAATGTTTATTGGATTACTGAAGAGCTCTGCCATGCAGTTCAGAGACTATAGAAGAAGCAAAAAGTGTTCAGAAATGTGCTGCCAGGGCCCCTGTGATGTCAGTGACCATGCCAAAATAACGATTTAAAAAAAAAAAAGTTAACTTAGGAAGTGATATGTATATTTTATGACATAGTTATGGAGATGGCAGCTGGCTTTGAAAAACAGAGTTAGCATGGAAAGTCTGTCAAAAGCAAGCCATCCTGAGGAAATTTTGTCATTAAGGCTTCATAATGCTTTACAGTTTCCATGCACTGCCCAGAATTATGTGTATGTACAGCAGATATACATTTTAGTGATTAAATAAACTGTTCGTTTTCCCTTCATTTAAAATATAGAGTGAATATTTGTATTAAGTCAGTGTAGACTTACACTATTTGTTTGCCACATTCCAGTTCTACTAAATTACACCCAAAATGTTTTGGTGAGGTTTTTTTTTTGTTTTTTTTTATGCCTTATAGCAACACTTTTGTCTTTTAGACTTATTTAGAAATGTAGTCAAAATCCTTAAATAATGGAAGGGGTACATTACAGCTCAAGATGGAGTGAAAGTAAAAACATTGCTCAATGATGTCCAGACCTGAAAAGATAGTTTTTCGACTCAGAAAAGTTGGGAGGTGGAACTTAGCGTTAAATACTTTGCTCTGGCACCTTGGGCAATAGCACGATGAGTGACAGGGGAATGCTACTTATATATTTAATTCTTTTCAATTATATCTACCGTAGACATTCCTATATGCCTTGCTGATAAAATGACAGAATTGCTGGGTAACTCAGTGCTAAAATTGCTTTGATATTACTTTGTTTTCTAGTTATTGGAAGAGTTTCCATTAAGAGATGAGAGATCTTTTTTTGTCTTTTGTGTCGTTTTTTCCAGTTTAAGTGCTGCGGTGGGGAAGACTACAAAGATTGGTCACAAAACGCGTACCACGACTGCGCGGCACCGGGACCGCTGGCCTGCGGGGTGCCCTACACTTGCTGTGTCAGGAATAAGGTAAGTCCCGGCGTCTTGGCATCGCTGCTCTCTGCCAGGTCGCCGGCGCTCGCTTAAAAGGGTGCCTGACTTTAGAAAGTCTAGGGAGTGGCAGCGATGCATACCAGCTGCTGCTTGATCGAAAAACCCAATGGAACGACCCCTGTCATCCAGAAAAATCAAAGCCATCCTTGAAAACTGCCCACCTTGCCACACTGTAAAATCCTCCCTGGAAGGCCACCCTGTCTGGACCAGTTTCTCAGTCTACGATGAACTGGTATTAACTGCTGCTGGCAGCACTAGGAGCAGCTGTTAAGTTCCATACCGATGATTTTGTGCAGACCCCGTGTTTTATATAAATATTAGTGGTTTTAATTCATCGCTCTTCATTTGAGGGGTGAAGGTGATGTTGAATCTGATGAAGAGCCAGTCCTCGGTTTAAAGCCGGAACGGGCCGTCCCTGCCTACCGGCGCCTGTTACGTGCTGCCCTTTCAACGCCTGCCTTGAGCGTGGCTGTTTAATTAACAAAAAGGGAAAATAAATGCAACCGTTTTGTCAGTAATCCTGCTAGGTGTTGCTGAGAAATGCGTGTAAGAGGAAGGTGTTTCTTACGTGTGCTTGCAGACTTTTTGTGCGTGAGAGAGAGTCTGTTTAAATCTGCGCTGAGCTTTGATTTATTCTCCGAAATCAAAGCTAAACAGTTACTCTTTGAGTCTTATTAGGTGTTTGAGAATAAGAAGGTCGTGTATATGAAAATTCTATCTGCTGATCCACAGCTGCGCTGAGCGGAAGAGCTCAGGATTTTGCCCTCATTTGATGGTAAAGGAAGATGGAGCTGGCTAGGAAAGAGCAATCTGGCTTTTTCGCGGCTGTTCGGAATACCGCTCGCTTTCCTGTAGCTCTCATTTCTCTGTTGAAGTCTTGTTTTAAAAGTTTGGTTTGTGTGTGTGGAAATCCAGCAGTACTGTGATTAATATGTGATTAATAACGCCAGGCGCCTTTGCAGCTGCAGTAATGGGCGATTAGTAACACCAGGCGCCTTTGCAGCCGTGGCACAAATAATCAAACACGTCGTGGATTGCAGATGCGACCTGTCAGGCAGGAAAGCACTGAAGTAGGAACTTCTCCAGGGAAAACAGGGAGTATATTCTCTGTGTGCTGCGTTGGCCACTGGGGAGGGGGCGATGAGACTACTTGCAGCCTAAAGGTAGCCTGCAAAGTGTTAGGCTTAGGGAAGTTAATTGAATGGAGGGGAGAAGCCCCAAAATAACAAGCAAACGTCTTATTTAAGGATAGGCTGTCCAGCCAGGTGCTGCAGTACTTTAGGGCTTGTGGCTTTGCCACACCGGGATGCCATCCATGTGCCTTGTGAAGTCCGAGCGGCACGGTGGACAAGCGGCAGGATGACACTAACACCGTGGCTGTGTGGTCGGCTGCCTTGGGAAGAAAAAAAAAAACCCCACACAACCAAAAGGTGCATAAATCTTCTATGTTTGACAAATGCTTCCAAATACAGGCTGGTTTCTGTCCTGGAAAGCTACAGATACGGCTTGTGATTACTCACTCGCTTTGTAGTCATGGAAAACTCCTGCTAATGTCGGAGGTTGGATCCTGATTCTCTTAAAGCGCCCTGTGCTAAGACAAGCCAGGCTCATGTTGAGGGGGCTCCGGAGGGATTATTTTCAAGACATTTATTAAAGACTTACGCTAGTGTAGCAGATAAAAATCAGCCCCCAAATGCATATAAACCCCTGTTTCTAATGCGTTTATCTCCGTTGCGTTCGTCTTCTTGTGCCACGATGTCCTGTCAGCGAATGCTGTGTTCAAGATTAAATGATGCGACCGTGTTCCTTGTGGTTGTGTGTCTCGGGGATGGCCGCGCGCTTGTCGGTTAGGCTCAAGCGTTTTGTAAACGTGAAACCACTACAGCAGACACAGCAACGCGGTGGTGCCTGGTGTTGCAGACTTTGGCTTCCAAGAGTATTCATCACCTGTGGTTGACAGATGAGTACCCCTCATGTTTTCCCAACAAATGTGAGAAATAAAGCTTTTTTTTTCTTAGGAACGCACCCAACCTTGTTTGTCAGCCAGTTGCATGTTCAAGGTGAGAGCCCGGCTTTTTGGGGGCTTAAAACACTTGGCTGGTGTTTCTGCCATTTTGTAAAATCCATCTTCCTTCCATCTTTTGCAAACATCGCTCTACCACCTTGGGGAGGTGACCTGGGAACCCCAGCCTACTGCTCAGAGGCCAGCAGCATTTAGAAACCTCATTTCTACATCTCGTTTTAAGTTCTAGGGAGGGTATGTCAATACCGTAGAGTTTGCTCTGCCTGATTTCCCTCATTCACATGTTCTCGTTTTCCTCCATGTCTTTGGCTTCGTCCGTTGCTTCGTTCAATGCTGGCAGCCTTTACATTGGCTGATTTGTAAGGCAGGATGGTATTTTCAGGTTAGCCCTGCCAGGCCAAGTAGAGCTTTAGGACCCATGTGAAATATTAAACGGCTACAGAAAACGTGTTAGTGTCTGTGATGAATGCAAACACTCAGTCTTCTCTTAAATACATGAAATTTATTTTCATATAGATAATGATATATAAAATAGATTATAATAAATCTGGTCTGGTAAAATGTTCATGTAAGCATGCGTAATGTTGGATGTTATTTGGGGTTTAGATATTTCTGAGCTTAAATTCGTCATTGTGATGGCATGATGGCTGTGTTAACCCCCCGTTTCCTTAATCAGATGTGTTAAGTTATTAAAGCCGTAAAATTAAAACCAGCTGTTGGTTCTGCAGAAGCAGCTGTGGCGTACAGCTCTGTTGTAGCTAGCTTTGCTTTCTGATGCCACGCTGGTTTTGCTGGATGGATACAGTTCGAATGTCTTGTGCCATGACACACTGGCAGAGTAATTTCTCTAAAATCATGTAGAGCTCTATTTAAATCTGGCCCTGGGGATGCTGGAAGAAACCGGTGTTGGTCTGCGGAGTAACCCTTTTTGTTCCTTTTATATGAGCTGGGTGAACACAAGAAGAGCAAAAACTACTTTTTTTTTGTTTGTTTGTTTTCTGCTATAATTTACTTTTGTTGTTTTCTTTTCAGACAGACATTATCAACACTATGTGTGGATACAAAACCATTGACAAAGAGGTAACGTAACCAGTGTCCGCCCTGTCATGGCAAAGGGTGGTGCTTCTCTGCTGCTTTTTTTTTATTTGGTCAGTTATAAAATTGTCTTCTGCATGCTTAAATCTACCAGACAGTTAAATCAGCAATTAAAATGATTTTATCTGGAATACCTTTAATATAGAAAAAAAAAATCAATCTTGTTTGATTGTGGTATCTTCCCTTCTTTGTATCTTCCACAATTCCTTGTTTGACGTGCACGGAGCGTTCCTTCCCAAAGCGTGCTCCCTTTATGCTAATCGCACAATTAGTACAAGGAAAGATTCTTCAGTGCTTTTACGTAGTGACTTGAGTGTGGGAAAGCTTTCAATACTTAAAGCCAAAGTTTCTCACTGAGCAAAATCGTTTTTGGTAAAGCCAATTTAGCTGTTTCTAAGTATTTTATATCCCAGTAGTGGGTGTTTTATTTTTAAGCCTCTAATAGTTATTCCTGGAAGAGGAGCGAGACTTCCCAGGTTGTGTTGGCAGCCTGCTTCTCCTTCCAGGAGCGGGATGTGGCCTCCTCCTTTGGTTTTCCTTCTTGGGAATAGCTTCAGTGACTCCAGAGGAGAGGCTGCCTGCTCAAGGCACTAATTGCAGAGTGATTAAGAAGGGAAATCAGTAATTGGATCTGCCGCAAGTTCTCCACTCCTAGCTCTGGAGTGCTGGTGCAGAGGAGGGGCTTGGTCTAAAAAAGCCCCTCTCCCCGGCTCGTTTGAGGCACTTGGCGCACAATGCCAGCTTCAGTTGTTGGTTTTGGGGATTACCAGTTATCTTTACGTGTGACCTGTCTTCATTTAGGTTCATTTGATTTATGGCTTAATCACCTAAATGCCCCAGCCTGGCTCTAACGCCCAAAGCACTTAAGCATATGCTTAACTTTACCCCATTCATCTGCTTAGGACCCTTGGCAGCCTCAAGTGCTTTCTGTATTATGGGTTGGGGTCGCCGTGCAGCACAGCTTGCAGGACTGAATCTGAAATCCTCTTGTTCCTGCCCTTTTTAGAGTCTATTGCAAAGCACTCGGTCCGCAATTTATGTTTTTTCCACTGCTGTACTTTCAACTTGGAAGCGGAGATAAAAGCTAGAGAGAGACTCCTCTGCTTTCCAAGCGGTCTAAAATGAGAATTGGATGCATTTCTTTTAGGAAAGTAGTTGCAAAAAAAAAAAAAAAGTTTAAAAAAATAAAATTACTTGTTCAGGTGTGGAACAACTTAAAAACAGATGGAAGAATTAACAATGAAGTCTCTGTTAATTTCAGTGGATTTAAAGAGACGAGAAGGAGGACCAAATTTGCCTCCCTGAAATTTGAATTATGATGTGTGTCATATGCCCGTGCAACTGCCTGTTTGAACATCTGCTCTGTTTTTTTGCAGCGTTTGAGTATTCAGCATGTTATATATGTCCGCGGATGCACGAATGCGGTGCTTATTTGGTTTTTGGACAACTACAGCATCATGGCCGGCGTGCTGCTTGGCATATTGCTGCCCCAGGTAAGAAGGAGCCAGTGTGTTATCCGTTAAACAGACTGTCTGATTTCTTGCTACGGTGTGCAATATCGCATTTGACTATATTTAATTATCATTTTTTACTTAAATTTAACATAACTGATAAGCTGAGGTGTCATTCTGGTAATTTAGTAGCATTCCTGTGATATATTGCAGGATTCGGTGGGTGAATTTGGTTTTTCTGAGGTTTTATTTGGGTCCTCTTCTCCTGATAGCAGTGTCCAGTGAGACTTTCGAACGCTCCAAGGCACAGGGGTGGTAATTCCGCTGTATTAGCTCTTCAAGAAGGACAATGAGGTGCTGGAGCGGGTTCGGAGAAGAGCAACGAAACTAATGAAGGGTTTAGAGAACTTGTCCTATGAGGAGCAGCTGAGGGAGCTGGGACTGTTTGGTCTGGAGAAGAGGAGGCTCAGGGGGGACCTTATCGCTCTCTACAATTACCTGAAAGGAAGTTGTAGGGAGATGCGGGTCGGTCTCTTCTCCCATGTTATGAATGACAGCACAAGAGGGAATGGCCTCAAGTTACGCCAGGGGAAATTTAGGTTGGATATCAGGAAAAATTTCTTCACAGAGAGGGTTGTGAAGTATTGGAACAGGCTGCCCAGGGAGGTGGTGGAGTCCCCATCCCTGGAGGTGTTTAAAAACCGTGTAGATTTGGCATTGAGGAACATGGTTTAGGGACCCTGACAGTGCAGGGTGAATGGTTGGGCTCGATGATCTTGAGGGTCTCTTCCAACCAGATGATTCTATGATTCACAAAAACAATCCGTTTTTAGTGTATATGCAATGAAGAATAAAGATGTGAGTTTCTATGTATATACTGCAGACCTGCCCGTATGTCTGACGTGTACAGACGTGATTTGTAAAAGCTGTGTGAAGTGTTAGGCAAGCAGTATTTGCTCTCTGACTAGAGATGCCCCTTCCTTTCGCAGTTCCTGGGAGTGTTGTTATCCCTGCTTTACATCACTCGGGTGGAAGATATCATCACCGAGCACAAGCTGAGCGAAAGACTCTTTGAAGAAGCGCGGCAGAGTTCTGCCCCCGAGTTTACTGGAGCTGGCTGCTGCATGTGTTACCCAGGGTGACTTCAGAAACCTCAAATACAGTTTAAAAAAAAAAAAAAAAAAGGCAAATCCACCTGTTCTGGTTTGTGCGGGCTGTTACAGATTGTGGGTGTAACGAATCAGCCAGCAGAACGGCGGTGGGTCGGCGGCGTGCCGATACCTCCGTAGCCTCGTCGCTCTCGGTGTGTCTGCAACCAAAGGGCTTGTGGATCATTAAATCTTTTTTGAATGAGTGATAACGCAGCCAGGAAAACTGTCCTGGGAAGATTTGAAGGCAGATTCTTGGGAAGAGCCTTTGCGTCTTGGGATGTTGTATTTAAATGTTTGTCCTTTCCGACTTTATTTCATACTCCTTCCGAAAAAGATTTCTTGCCGAGCTACATGGTGGATGTTAAACATGCGTTTGATAAAGTTTTTATGCTAATCTTGATGAATTTACTGACCATAGTGGATGTGATGCTGAACACTTTCATTGCTCAGTCTTTTGTGCCTTTTAATAATGGGGCAAATGCCAGTGTCCAATCAGTCAGGTAATGCTTGATATATTTTTAATGCGATTTATTACTGCCTGGCTTTTGTATAAACTTATGGGATGTTTGAGTCTTGTATGTACTGTGGTTTTCCTCTTTAGTAAATTAACTAGGTGACTTATGATTTTCTTTTTTTTTTTTTTTTTGGAGTTCTGTATGTTGAGATGTTTCTAAATTTTATTCTTCTTGTCAAAATAAAAACTAAGTTTTTTTTAAAAAAAATCCAAATATTTAGTTTGAAATGCTTTTTATTTTCTTATCTAAGTTAAGGCTGTCCCTCAAACGCTGAACCAAAAGGTAGAAATACCTTGAGCTGTGATTGTGGCTTGGGTGCTGACGTGCCTGGGGTTTTGGATGGAGTCACTGAAGATCTGTGCCTCGCTTGCTTCTCGTAGTGAATCGGAGACAATACTTGGGAAGTCACTGGGAGCTCTGGGGTTTTTGTTGTTGTTTCTTTGACCTGAGCATTTCTCTGCAGTCTTTCCAGCCCCAGTCAGGCTTGCAGGCAAAATGCAAAACCTAATTATCGTGGTGCTTGAAATAAACAAATTCAGGATGAGAATAAATCGGGTTTGGTTTATATCCTGTCTTTGCGAAGCTCTTCTTTTCTGACACTCCACAAAGCCACACAGAGGAATATCTGATAGTATTCTCTCCTTGCTGCTTTTATTCTGCTCTTTTTTTTTTTTTTCTTGATTTCCTTATCCTGGATGTGTTTTCTGCTTTCTTCGAAACTCAGTGTTTGCTGCTTAGCTCTCCGCCTTCGCCAAGGATTGCTGAGGAAGCTTCATGCGTTTCCAGGAGCCAGAAAAAAAATGACTCACCCGGTTCTTCAGTGTTTCCGATGGTGTCCAGAGAGATCCCGCTGCGTTATCAAGCCCATCATCCGCAGCGGGAGGTTATTTCTTCCACAGCACACTCTAGTGTTGGGTCCTGCGCATCGTTATGTATTTAATTGCTTCGTATCATTGTCACCTAAATTTTCCTGGTCTCTCTCCTGAATAACGTATTTTGGGAAGTTCAGAAGCAAGGTGTGTTTTAAGGGTGGATGTATATACAAAGAGAGGAAGGGGAAAAGGTGGGTGATGCTTTGAAGGACCAAGCTGACGGCTGGTGATGGAGGAGGATCGAAGCCGAAATGGATTTGTTGTGGTGAGTGGGCTGGGAAGGTGGGAGCTGAAAGCATCAAGAGCTGCGGTGTTGCCAGAGGCAGAGCTGTGCCCTGGCCTTTGGCAAGAGGGGAATAACACTCGAATTTGAGATGGTAGGAAGGCTGTAGGGAATTGTGAAGGAAGGATGGGCAAAGGTAAAAATCTTTCTTTGATGACAAAGGTAATTTTTCTTGTTTTACTAATAGCATCTTGTGAATGTCATGGTGAAGTACAGGATAGCCCAGAAAGCAGGAGATGGTGGAAGCGTGGTTAAAAATTGGGTGGCTTAAATAGAACAGGGAGAGTATTTGGGGATACCAGGGAGCAGTTGTCCTTTGGCAAGGAAGTTTGAGGGCTGTACTGAATTTTCAGCCGTCCTCAGGGCTCTCTGTCATACGCAGTGTTTGGGGTGGGGGTGAGGGGGGTGGTTTACCTGACAATCACCAACTAAACATGTGTGACTTTGTTTAATAAACGATTGATTCAAATACTGCTGATCCTTCCCATTCCCTCAGATCTGAGGAAATTAACTCTTTGCTTCACAGGCCCGTGGTGACCGGAGGGAAGGATGATGCCGATCGGGAAGTGGCTGGAGGAGAGGGAGGCAGCAGGTTTCTGCTCAGCTGCCTCTGTGCACCTGAGCTGTGGGAGATGACGGGGAGACCACGACGGGGATGTGAATTTGCTCGTAAGCATGAGGCTTCTCAGTGTGCCATGCACCTGTGCTATTAGTAGACAGATTTTGGAATGGGTTTGTGGCTTGCATGAGATGTTCTGTGTGCTTACGAGTAGCTGGTTTTGTCCTGAGCCTCTGAGCCTGCACAGATGTGCTCTGTCCTGCCCAGTTCATCCGCACGAGCCAGATCTGGAGGGGACGTGGTGTGAAAAAGAAATAAAAAATACTTCTTTTTAAATGTGCACATCCCTGTGTCGATGAGCAAATCAGCTGGAAGTGTGTGAAGGGCCAGACTCAAAATGTCCTGGTCTGATTTTTGCATTTGGCTGTAAGTGAAAACCATTGTGGCCACACTAGCAAAGATCATCTGGACTTTTCCAGACAGCTGATGTGAAAGCTGATTTTAAAACAGGTGACGAGAGCTGATCTAATCCAATCGCTGTCTTCCTGGCAGGAGCAGACACAGCTGGACCACTCCTCGCATCCTTAAACCTGCTTTTCGAAGTGCTCCTTGCCTGCTGTTTCAAAGACTGAGGCAACTCTGCAAAATCCCAGAACCATTACGGGATTTTTTTTTTTTGTGTGTGTTATATTACAACGCTCTGACAACTGTGAGCTTCTCATGGTTTGTCCTCCTGCTTTCCCCATGCCTCCAAACACCCTGCCCTCTGCAGATGTTGGGCAGCTGTTTGCCCTCCCTGCCTGCAAAAATCACCCCCCGCCAGTCCTTGCTGCCTGACCCCTGCCTTGCCTCTCTCCTGCCTGCATCCTGGAGCTTCCTTGCCTGTTGTGGGACGACTGTGGAAAGACCAGGAAACCGAAGGGTTGCGACGACTCCTCGGAGCCGGCTGCCTGCTGAGCTACTGGGCAGCAGTACCTAATTTAACCGCTCTCCATCCCCTGTGGGTTCAGAGAACAGGGTCACTGCTACGCTTTGGTGATGCCAGCGGGGTTTCCCACTGAGAATCGTGCACCGTTCAGCTAGAAATAGACATTTCCCCTTATATTGGAGATAATTACGGGCTGTCCAGGCAGAGTCTTGGCGCAGCGCTTGGGCGATGCGTGCCGAGGGCCTGGCTGGAGCGTCACGCACCGTGTGTGCTGTACGATGATGTGAGGGGATAAAAATCTGTAATTAGGCCGAGCAGCTCTCCCTCTGGTGGTGCGGGCATGCCATATCGCAAGGCGCTAATTAAATCTCTGCTCCCTGTAAATTATAATCTCCGCTCAGCGTGTCCGTACGGCACTGGGCTTGCTCCAGTGGCCCCGTCCCCTGCCCTGCTTCAAGAAGCCCCCTTGTGCGGGCACAGCTTCCACGGGCTTCTTCCCCCCCTCCCGAAGCTGGAAGCCCCTCGTTAGCCCCGAACCTCTGCAGTGATTAACATCCATTCTTGAGGCAGAGAGAGAAACTCGGGATACAGCTCCTCATTCCAACTTGACCTGGAAAACCAGCCTTGGAGGCGGGATGAGCTAATTTCCTCCTGATGAGGAAAAAAAAAAATCAGTGTTTAAGATCTAAAAACCATTTAGCTAAAAGTTGTTTTGCAGATTTGTATTCCTGAGGCCCTTTTATTCGCTGCAACTTCCTGGTGCTCCTGAGTTTCAGTACAAGCTGATTATTCAAAGGTGCCTGCGTGGGTTCAGGAACTGCTTTTTTGGTGAGAAATAACCTGGTGGGTGTTCAGCTGCAGAGTGCAGGTGCTCCCGCTCCCTGGGATCCGCTGGGCTCCGCTCGACCCTGAGCACATTGGTGGCCCGTGAAGTTGCTTTGGGTTTGCATCCTCATTTGATGTCTACACCTTTCTGGGGAGCAGGGGGAATGGGCAGCATCTTCATCTGTGGTGGCGAGAGCAACGCTGATGTTTAACTCGTCAAAATTACATTCGGTCTGTCATGCTTCTTAAAACCGAATCATGGAAAGTCATTTTTTTCCGTGGTGAAGAGGTAGAGGTAGATGAAAGCTGCCATCCTGGAGAGGAGAGAAGGAGACTCGATCTGCCTGGGATGCACACAACAGCAGAAAGCTGCCTTGTGCTCCTGGGCGTTGGGTACCGGTTTGCAGATCACAGCCTGTCACGGTGCTCAGTCCTCGCTGGAGATTTCCTGTGGGTCAGCATCACGCGTGGGGGTGTCACTGCCTGCAGCAGGTGTTGGGGATGGGGAGGCTTTGCCTGGGGAAGCACAAGGAGCTGCCAGCACTGGCTGAGTATCACTCACTGCAGTGCTTCTGGGATGCTTGGTGACCCTATGGTGGGAACGGCGCAGGGCTGATCCCTTGGCTGGGGCAAAGAGCAGTACTATCTCCTCTTGCTCAAGGCTGCAGCTTGCTGGGTTAAAATATGTGTAATGGCACCTTGTGGGGGTTGGATGGTGCTGGGACACACATGCTGGCTGCAGGGCAAGAGCTGGGGGGTGCATGGGCTGGGGCTCTGTGGGTGGATGTGGGTGGCAGGTGCCTGATGAGGGAAGGAGCTCTTTGTGAGGTCCCCAGAGCTATGTGCAGACTCTGGCAAAGCAGTTGAGCTACTGGAGAGTATTGGCTCTTGGAGAAGTTTGCATGCAGGGCTTTGAAGTTTTAGGTTTTATTTTTTCAAATGTAACTGGGTTTTGCTGAGAGGGACAGCTGCCCCCTCCCCATCTTTCCCAGCGCAAGTGTTGAACACT